ATTTGTTTGTTTTTGACAATGAATTAATAATGTTGATAATGCCAAACTTACTATCCAGGAATTTTGATAAGATCAATGTAGAAATTGTTAAGATAATCTATCAATGGAAACTAGTTTAATACAGACAATACTGATATGAGAATTAGTGATAACACAATGTGTATCAATGGGACTTTCAATAGACAATAGAAAACAAACAGGGCCAGGTGGTTAGGACACTTAACTCGCAATTCTCAGATTGCGAGTTCGAATCCCTGTCCCATCAAACATGCTTTTCCTTGCAGCCATGGTAGCATTATATAGTGATTGTCAATCCCACTATTTGTTAGTAAAAGAGTAGCCCAAGAGTTGGTGGTGGGTGATGATGACTAGCTGCCTTCCCTCTATTCTTTCACCACTAAATTAGTAATGGCTAGCTTTTTGTCGTAAAATTCAAAAACAAAACAACCAGTACATAGCCAAAAATATGCTTATTTCAAAAATAGCACAAGTGCTCACCGTTTTGATTTTTGATCTAGAAAAATGTGAAATGATGTACTGTTAAGACAAATTGGGAACACAGACTCAGGTTAATATGCATGCAGAAAGGTTTAAAACTAAACATTCTAAATACCAAAATAAAAACAAAGTACACAGAACAGAAATTGATGTAAAATGCATCTAAATTACAACAGAACATACTGAAAAAAGATTAAGTATGTTGTATTCAGATTTCACCATTTGTTTAGTTTTCTAATTAAAACACTAACCATATAGTAAGGTTATAAAAAAGTTATAAATGTAATAAGATATGAGGAAGTTTTTCTTAACTGATACCAGTTTTACAGGAATCCAATATAGCATAAAAAACAACGAGCATATCAAATATTCCTGAAAACTAACTTCATCAAAATGTTCTATAATGTATGATCTCACGTATACTAATGTGTGTACACATACTTTTTAATAAGCTTTAGTTAATCAGTTAAACTATTTTTTCCATTAATGTTCCTAAACATTCAAACCTCTTTTCCCCAGAAGGAAAAAAAACCCTCAAAGCAAGTGTGAAATAACACAACTATCAGCAGTTATTGTGCAAAGTATGAACTACAGTGCAAAACATAGTCAAAATTGTGGTCTTAGCAAAACTGGTTAAGGCCATTGTTGCCCTATATAAGTTGGTAGTTTGTAAAGTAGATTATAAAGGTAAAGACGTACTGGATGTTTGACAAGTGAGAGATCAGAGCTGCCTCAACTTTTTATTTTATTGTAATGAAAGAGGTTAAACGTAGGTTTGAGAAGAATGCCCACAAAAGAATTTTTTCTGTTATCATGAAATTAAAAAAGGGTAAAAAACCAAGAGAAATATACATGCAAGAATAATATTTAAAACACATTCTGAACAAACTGATATACAATAATACATGTTTTGTGATGATAAAAAAGTGACAATAAAAACTCTTGTTCCAGATTTACCTGGTGTTTTGGTTGTTGTTTTTTCTGCTGCAACACAAGCAGGAAAATTTGGGTTGTTGATGTTGTTATTTGTGACAACGTGTAACTTTTTGCTGCTGCTGATTTCTTTGTTGTTGTTCCCCGACAGCTGAGATGAAACAGGAAAACTGTCCAAACTCGGTTTGTTAATTCCCTGCTTGGCTTCAGCTATTAGTCGTCTGGCACGTTCTCTCAGCTGTTTCTGTCTTTCATCTTCTTTCTACAGAACAGTATGAAACGTCACTTTAAAACCAAATTAAAAAGTGAACCAGTGTTCTTAATAAAGTTTGATAAAAGTTCAGCTGATATTACTTGTGTGATTAAAATGAACATGAATAATGTGTTAACAGAGACAATGTCAGAAAACCCAATCTCAGGTAACTACTCATTGTCAGGCTAAGTGGACAATAAAGGGCTAAAACCAATTACATATAAAGTACATTAAACTTTGAATGTTTGCAAGTATTATGTTCTTTAGAAAAACAAAGTAGTGACACCTGAGAACATAATTATGAACCTTTGTTTAATTTAAACTAACATGTACACGAAATTAGCAGGCATTTATGAAGAGTAAAAACAAGAAAAAGGGCAGAAACACTGGAAGCATACATATTTCATCAAAAGCTATTCAATTTAGAAATAAAAAATGACTAAAGTAGATATTCATGTGAATATTCTTAGATTTCATAACTAAATATTGCTACATGCACATGGTTATTAACATATTAAAAAACACTTTAAACATGTCTGCAGGTTACCCTAATACTCTACTGACCTAAAACTAAGTTTTGTTGGTGCTGCAGAATCATCTTCTTCCTTTTTGAATGATTCTTGTAATACACAAGTTAAATCTAACTCAAGATTTGTCAGTACATTAAAATTCTCCTCTTCCTCATAATTCTTATATGTGTATATAGTACCTAAGCTCTGGATGGTTTTGAAGGTGCTATAAAAAGAAATCTGAGGCTTTCTTTGACTTAAAATATGTTCAAATGGAACTAATATTTTACCCCAATGTACTTATAAATTTTTCAAGAAAATAATACTTGCTAAAAAAAAATAGGTAAAGAAGTAAACCTTCTGTATAGCTAAAAATAAATGTTAGTTTTGTACCACTCTCCCCAGTAGTGTGTCATTGGAAAGCTCAAATACTTATACTACTAAAATTCAGGGTTCAATACCTGTGGTAGGCATGATACAGAAAGTTCATTGCGTAGCTTTGCAATTCACAAAAAACACACAAACTGTATTAGTTTTACCCTTCCTGTATATTATAAAAGATTAATGTATACTAGTTTTATTTCTCCATTTGAAAACAAAATGCAAGTACCAAAAAATTCAAATATATTGACAGTAATGTTATTTTCTTATAAGATAAAATTTCACCTTTTGACAATAGATTAGATGAATTATAAAAACTAAATTTCTCTCTCTCTGCCTTGCAGCTTGCACTGGCTACTTACCATATATTGCTTTGGGAAGAAAACACTTAAGAGTAATAAGAAGTTTCTAATAGTAGTAAATACACAATGCCATGCAAAGTAGTTTGAAATAAAGTTTAGATCCACAATTATGGAACAACAGGTTTTGACACTTTCATTGGACTAAAGAGAACACATGAATATGTCAAAACTTGTCCACATAAATTTGTTGTTGTTGTTCCATAAGAGTGGATCTAAACTTTATTTTAGATAAGAAGCATCCAATTGGCCAAAAATTGTAGATAAACTACTACTTTAGCCAATGACAATTCGGAAAAATATATGCATGACCAGTAGTAACATAAAAACAATTTTCATAATTGCAACAATCTGAATAAGGGAGTGAAAATATGCCAACACAGCTGTTCAGTAATAGAACAGTTTTTGGGAGAAGGCATATATATATATCTACTCATCTAAAAGGGTAGTCACATCAATGAAGGAGAGTCTGGAGAAGTCCATAATTTTCAAAATATATTCCTACAGATTATTTGTTTTCTGAGCACTTATATTTTACTGATCACTCAAGTGCACAAGCCATGAAGTTATGATTACTGTAAAGCTTTTTAATATTTTACTGGTCACTGAAGTGTACAAGTCATGAAGTTATGATTACTGTAGAGCTTTTTAATATTTTACTGGTCACTGAAGTGTAGAAGTCATGAAGTTATGGTTACTGTAGAGCTTGTTAATATTTTACTGATCACTCAGGTGCACAAGTCATGAAGTTATGATTACTGTAGAGCTTTTTAATATTTTACTGATCACTAAAGTGTACAAGTCATGAAGTTATGATTACTGTAGAGCTTTTTAATATTTTACTGGTCACTAAAGCGTACAAGTCATGAAGTTATGATTATTGCAAAGCTTTTGTTTTTTCACTGATCACTCTCAGGGGTAAGCTAGCTAGTTACCAAGGTTAAATTTAATTATACAGCTAGTTGTAGAGCAAAAGATAGGACAAAAAATATAAGGATGTATAAAATACAGCACTTGCAAGATACAAAACTTATAGTGAACAACCTGCACTGATTCACTAATTTGTTACCCTTGCTGTTACTACCCTTTTCATTTAGCAATAATCCCATTACTGTCTCACAAAGTCTGCACAGTTTATGAGCTTTACTTTTCATATGAATGGAAACAAGCTATTTCATACGTATTTGTATCATTTTAGGTTAACTAAGGGGATTAAGGGGTTTGATTAAACAAAAATGAGAATATGTTGTAACTTGTATAGCATACTAATGCATAAAATACAAATACTTGTTATTAAGAGTTCGTGGTATGTTA